TAAAAGGTATGGGAACAATCAGATATCCCTATGATTAAAACAAAAAATCACCTCGTTTGTTACCTCATGTAATATCCAAAACTTAATTTGAGATAGATCACAGGCCTAAAGGTAAAATCTAAAACAATAAAGATTAAAGGAGAGTATTATCTATATAACCTGAGGGTAGGTAAGGTTCCTTAGACAAAACACAGAAAGTAATTATCATAAAAGAAAACACTGAAAAATAGAATTTATCAAAATTTAAAACTCTATTAATCAAAAGATACCATAAAGAATATGATTAGGCAAACTACAGACAGGGAGAAATTATTTGTAAGATATATATCTGACAGAGGGAACTTTAACCAGAACATATACAAAATTCTTACAAAAATAGCAAAAAGACAAAAATAAAATAAAACAATGTAGGTAAAACACATGAAGAGACAGGCTGGGCACAGTGGCTCACACCTATAATTCCAGCACTTTGGGAGGCCAAGGCAGGAAGATTGCTTGAGTCCAGGAGTTCAAAACCAGCCCGGCAACAAAGCAAGACTCCTACAAAAAAATAAAAAGATTTAGCCAGGTGTGGTGGCACGTGCCTGTAGTCCCAGCTACTTGGGAGGCTGAAGTGGGAGGATCACCTGAGCCCCAAAGGTTGAGGCTGCAGTGAGCCAAGATCCACGACTGCACTCCAGCCTGGGTGACAGTGCAAGGCCCTGTCTCAAAAGATAGTAATAATAATAAGAAGAAGATATGAAGAGACACTCAACAAAAGAAGATACACAATTGACCCATGAGCACATGCAAAAATTAATCAACCCTAGTCAATCAGGAAGATACGAATAAACCACAATGAAAACCTACCAAAATAATTAAAATTAAAAAGACTTTCAACACCAAGTGCTGGCAGATGCAGAACAACCAGAACTTGTGGGGAAAGTCTGGCAATTTCTAAAACTAAACATACACCTACCCTCCGATCCAGTGATTCTACTCCTAGATATTAACCCAGAAGAAATGAAGACATGTGTCTCCAGACAGACCTGTGCAAGAATGTTCATAGCAGCTTGTTCCTAACAGCCAAAACCTGGAAACTAATGAAAAACAATGATAAACTGGCTGGACGCAGTGGCTCATACCTATAATCCCAGAAGTTTGGGAGGCCAAGGCAGGCAGATCACCTAAGGTCAGGAGTTCAAGACTAGCCTGGGCAACATGGTGAAACTCTGTCTCTACTAAAAGTACAAAAAATTAGCCGGGCATGGTGACGTGTACCTCTAATCCCAGCTACTCGGGAGGCTGACGCACGAAAACTGCTTGAACCCAGAAGGCAAAGGTTGCAGTGAGCCAAGATTGCTCCACTGCACTCCAACCTGGGGGAAAGAGTGAGACTGTGTCTCAAATTAAAAAAAAAAGAAAGAAAAACAATGATAAACTATGGTACATGTACTTAAGTGATGCTTAAAATTAGGAAGGTATCAGAATCTTGAGTAAGGGGGAAAAAAGTATAGTTCAGAAAAATATTTTCAAGTAATTCTGATACCCGTTGAAAAACTTTCCATGTTTCAAATAACCAACTTGCAAACAAGCTTCAAGAACAGAATTTGTATGAAAGCATTTTCTGACATATATACAATAGTTGGTCACCAGGGGGCACTCTCAATGCAGTTCTATCTGGAGCTTCCCAGGGCAGGCGTGTGGCCATAAGCAGTGATGCTGTGGCTGCTGCCAAATTCAGTTCAGCATCTAAGGACTGCACTGGTGTCACTCTGGTGGGGGTGTTACATGCTTTTGTTGGACATCACATTTACCTTTCCAAATACAATCTTATTTAACAAATGTATTTGTTTACAGCGGCTAAACCCACACAAATTGCTAATGCCCTAGGGCTCAAAACGTGAACAGAAGGAAGAATTTGCCACCGTTACCCATGATTTTTTTGTCAGATAATCAAGAGCTGGCTGTAACTACTTATCAAAATAGCTTCCAGTTGTAACTGGATGTACACAGATGTAATTTGTTAGAAAATCATTCACAATTAATACAGTTCCTAATACAATGTAGAATATTGTTAAAATCTTGCCCTTTTTCTTTTCTTTTCTTTTCTTTTTTTTTTTTTTTGAGGCAGGGTCTTGCTGTGTCACCCAGGCTGGAGTGCAGTGGCATGATCATAGCTCACTGCAACCTCCGCCTCCCAGGCTCAAACCATCCTTCCACCTCAGCCTCCCAGGTACGTGGGACTACAGGTACGTGCCAGCGCACACAGGTAAGTTTTGTATTTTTTTTTTTAGTACAGATGTGGTTTCGCCATGTTGCCCAGGCTGGTCTCCAACTCCTGGGCTCAAGCAACCCTCCTGCCTTGGCCTCCCAAAGTGCTGGGATGGCAGGTGTGAGTCATGGCGCCTGGCCAAACCTTTACATTTTAAGGCCATCTAAAATACCATATAACTTTAAATTAACAAGTAATACACGTTCCTACACAGAAGAGTATACCCTACTAAATACTAACACATGATGAGCATCTATAGGGAGGGAAAATAAATTTTGTGAGTCTGGGCTGAACTTAGTTTTCTTTGTAAAGGATAATTAGTAATATTTTTTCAAGTACTTGAACACTTTACACCTTCATAAGCACACCTGAACAACGCAGGACTTCATATGCCAGGAGAAGAAAATGTTAGCGCTTGTTATTACAAAAAACTTGAACATTTCCTACCTAATTTTAAGAGACAGCTTTAATAAATGGAGGCCCTCTCAATTTAACTGTAACTTGAGAGAAAACAGTGTGGAGCTGTGCTTCTCTAGCTTTGCCTCCCCCACCGCCGCCCTGCCTTGGTCAAACACAAACCCCACCCTCCACTCAGGGATGCAAACAGATGTGCGGACTCCGCAGCACATTGTCTGTTTCCCCGCTGGCAGAGACCTTCAGTCTGCACTTATTTTCTGTAGTTTATACTATGAAGAGGATGTATTTTTACCCCCATTGTAAGACCATATTACATATGCTTTTTCCTTTTTAAATTTTTCATTGATATATAATAATTGTACATATTTATGGGTGCATGTGATATACATGCACATAATGTGTAATGATCAAGTCAGGGTATTCAGGATGTCCATTAGCTTGAGCATTTATCATTTATTTATGCTGGGAACATTTCAAATCTTCTCTTCTAGCTATTTTGAAATATAAAATATATATGCTTTTTCAAATTACCACTGATGCCTTCCTACCCGCAGAAGATTCTGATATTCCTCCTTGTTCCTCATGTTCAAGAATCTGAATGTAGAGGACACAATTACATTTTAAAGACTAAGTATGGGATCTTGACATCTTTGGCTCTATGCTTTCTGGAGGAGAGAAATTTGTTTTGGAACCAACAGGGCAAGGCAAGGTGTTTGAATGGTATTCTGTGCAGAAGCCCTGCCAGGAGGAGCTGGCCGCAGCCACCTGCAGCCTGTCAGTGGCAGAGCCGTGCTGGCTTGCTCCCAAGTGGCCAGCAGTGGTGAAAACAGATGGTGGCCACTGTCAGCAGAACTCATGAAAATGAAACGGCCCAGGAGGAAGGGTCCTCACAGGATAGCCTGGTTCCTGGCACCTGCTTGCTCTCCACAGGGCTCTGTTGAAACAGACTGGAAAGGTACACCCGGCAGCAGAGATCAGCCACCAAGAACAACCAGCTGTGTCGGCTGAGCATCTTTCACGTGAAGGGAAAAGGAGTTTGACAAAAAGGAGCCTCCACGTTTTAGCAGTTATACATCTGTTTTAAGTATCAGAGGGCCCCTATCTGTACAGTGAATATTGTGCTCACACCTTATTGTCGGACATATTACAGATGTTTCTCTATGACACTGAAGTTATAACTGCTCCAAAACTCTAAAAAAGGGAGGCAGTGATTTGAAGAGAATTATGTTTTAATGTAAAAGTGAGGGTACTGTTAGGAAGATACATGTTATTTTCAAAAAATACATTTCATCGTGTTTCACTCTGACCAAACGTCATAACTTTCTGAGTTGTTGTCTTGAATGCTCATATCTTATATATGATTTGAATATTTTTGGTGTTGTTGTAGGAGGACTAAAAATTTCTGACAAATTAGCCTAAATCATGAGAGATAATTCCCCATAATTTTTCTGAGTAATTTATTATGGTGGCCGTAAAGAAAAAATAAAATTGACTCAAGTATCAGTTCTTATTATTTCCAGGTAGAGATATGAGTTCTGCTCCATTAATTCCATCTATCTATCCTAAACGAAGAGAACTGGCCAAAATACTGTGTTGAACAGAGCAATCATTGTGTTACAGTTGTATACTCTGATGTATGAGCAACAATCTCCAACATCAATTATTACAAATACAGATATATTAAATAAAAATAAAATTACAAAAGAAGCATCACTGGTTTTCAACTTATATGATAAATCTTAGTCCAGGAAGAAATCAATAGCGTTCTTAATATTATGCCCAAACATATTTAAAGCCTACTAGAATTAATCAGTGAAGGTTCAGCCTATTTTCCTATACTACCCCAGATGTATACAAATTTGAGTACCACCTATGTCTTGAGAATAATATAACAATTTTAAACTCAAAAGCTCTTAGACAATCATTATTATTATTAATAATCCAGCGATAAAGGCTTATTCAAGCAAGAAAATGAAATGATGTGAAAATGAACAAAAAAGCATTTTGGTTATAATCCTATCCACTACTTTACTAGATACCCATACTCATTAGAACGAAAATCATCTCTGTCTGCTCTGTCATCTACGTTTTCTTTTACACATGAATATAAACCCTGTTAACACACACAATCACATACACACACACAGACTTGTAGCACTAATGGCAGTGGTGATGAGTGGTAAAATACAAAGACTTTATTTTGTAAAAACATTCATTCTAAAAGGTTTTTAGTGTACAGTCAAATGGCCTTACCAAAGCAAGACCAAAAACCTGACAGGGAAACCTGGCTCCCCACACAGGGGATGGCCGTGACAGCGGAAGCACTGACCTTGTACGCCTGCATAAGCATGTGGATGACCCCCGGGGCACCGTGGCACCAGTGCACCAGCCGGTCTGTTTCATTGCTTAACGATGATGGGTAATTCCCAGATCGGAATTTTTTGTGGCGCACATAATCAATACTGGGTTTCACCATTTCTGTCAAAGTTTCTTGGTCCACTTTTGCTGCTGGCTTTAAACAAACAAAAATAAAACACAAATTATTTTTTCTGAAGTTATTTCTTTTACATTGTATCACGGCTAACAAAATAAAACATCAATTACATGGAAAACGAAAGAGCACATAAAATTAGAATTAATTCAACTATCTGGTTATTTAAGACTTAGGCAGAACTTGTTTCAACTTTTTGAAATCTCAGTGTTACCATGTATTTTGTCTCCTCTTTGGTGGATGAGTAGTAAAGGAAATGATTAAATGGCAAGTGAACCTAGGAGTAGGTAGGTTTTGTTTTGTTGCTTTGCTTTGTTAAAATACAAATACTTGATATCCTTCCATGGGGCTCACACCTTCTAGAAAGCCAGGTAGCCCTCTTCTCCCAAATCTATATACTGGCTTTGTTATTCAGCCAAATTATTTAACCTCAGTCTCTTTATCTCTAAAATAGAATAATCATAGTACTCAACTCCTAAGACGTTTGTAAGGAAAAAAGGAGAAAAAAATGCATGCCTCACTCCTTCATCCAACAATTTGTGGTGATACTGGCTTTTACTAACTGAAGGCACTCATTAAATGTTACCTACTAGAATTCATTATTGAATTTGTGTTTAAGTTTTACTACAGGGACTAAGACTAAAAACGTATTTGGAAAATATTTGCAAATTTTGAGGCATTGTTTTTTTAAAAGGACTTAAAACATTCAAATAGTCTCAAGTTACTGTACAGATTCCCACGAAAAAACCTGGTGAGAAGAGTCAGATGGCAAGGCTGAGCTAAGTGAGCGTCTTAGAGTGGCATGCCAGCCCACATGGCATCTTAGGGTGACATGTTAGTGTCACACAATGTCTTTAGGGTGACGTTAATGCCACAAAATGACTTTAGGGTGACATGTTAATGCCACACAATGCCTTCAGACTGACATGTTAATATCACACAACGTCTCAGGGTGACATGTCACCACATGACATCCTTAGAATGACAGCGCCACACAACATCTTAGGGTGACATGTTAACACCTCACGTCTTTAGGGTGACATGTTAGCACCACATGACATCCTTAGAATGACATGTTAATGCCACACAATCTCTTTAGGGTGACACATTAGCAACACATGACATCTTTAGAGTGACGGGTTAGCACCACACAAACGTCTTAGGGTGACATGTTAGCGCTACAGAACGTCTTAGGGTGACATGTTAACACCACACAATATCTTTAAAGTGACATGTTAGCACCACATAAATCTGCATATTGGTGAAGTATGAGATAGAGAACCTGTCTCTGGCCACTGATTTTTCATTTGGCTTTGGTAGCAAATGTCGGGGTGATGTAAAGTACTCTCAAAACTGAAATAAAATATTGCATTGCTTTAAATTCTCATCATTCCATAAGCACCAAAGTTTACAACATGACATCTTCTCCTACAGAATAAAAAACCTCTTTCTTCAACAAATAGCTAATTGTATTAAAAATAAAGGAAAGATAATTTAAGGAATATCAATACTTCTAAATTTCATTGAAATAAAACTATATTTAATAGAAAATCTTTAGGTGTTTTCCCTGATACACACTTAGAGACTGTATTAGCTTTTTAAAAACTATAGGTCATGAAGTTTATTTCCAAAAGGCTACATGATACTTTTAAAATTACTTTCGTACAGGTAATAAATACAGAACCACTTTAAAAAGTCAAAAAATATTGAGGAGCTTAATTCAAAGACCAACAGACCATGTCCTTCCTAGGACACAACTGAGTTCCTTTCTGTTGTGGTGGTTGTTAGCTGCTTATTCATATTACCACGGTATTTCTAAACAATGCATGCATGGCTGTGCCCTGAGTCACTGATTCTAGGCTTCCCCTTGGGGCAGATGAGAGACACTTTCCTTCCTCTAATCTTCCCAGGAGAATTTCACTCTGCTCACCATCCATAATCCTGTGTTCTTTACAGACTATGCTATGCAAATACTATTTGCTCCTGAAACAGTAAATATAGTGAATTAGATATTCTTTTATACCTTTTAGTTTTTCTTGGAGTAACTTTCTAACATTTTATTTGCTTAGTTTTCTTTAAACCAGTACCTAAGCTCTTTCATACCCACCAACAGTTCCGTAAAAAGTCTCTCGGTAAGATTTTCCACATGGTCAAATCTACTATGACTTTGTTTTCCCTGGAGGTGACTCTCCATTATCGGCTGCTTTCCAGGTCTTCTGTGCCACTGCTGTCCTGGGACTTGCACCTGTCAACCTCCTGGGGATTCTGCTCCCTCTCTTGTTTGGGTAGCCCCTCTTCCCTGGATCTGATCCTCTTTCTTAGAGCACTCCCTTGTTGTGGTAGACACCACACTCCGGTAGCTTCCTGAGATGGAGTACAGGGGAACGGGATGTTTTAAAGTCTTTGCTCTACTCCACATTTATTGGTAACTTTCTGGGCAGAATGCAATGTTGGAAATCATTTTTACTCAAAACTTGGAAGTCATTTCCATTTATCTTTTAGCTTCAGTGAAACTGTTGCAAAGTCCAATGCCATTTTTGGACTTTGTACATAACCTTTTTCTCTCTAAAGTTTTTTTTTCTTTTTTCTTTTTTTGAGACGGAGTCTCACTGTCACCAGGCTGGAGTGCAGTGGCATGATCTCGGCTCACTGCAACCTCTGCCTCCCAGGTTCAAGCAATTCTCCTGCCTCAGCCTCCCGAGTAGCTGGGACTACAGGTGCACGCCGCTACACGTGGCCATTTCTTGTCTAACGTTTTAAGCACTGTCTCTTTATCCCTTTATCTTAAGCTTTCACAATGACGGGCATGATGTGGATTTGTCTGTCTCCATTCATTGTGTAGGAACCTGGTAGGTCTTTCCAATATGCAACTATGTCCCTCATTTCTTTCTTTTTTTTTTTTTTTGGAGATGGGGTCTCACACTGTTGCCCAGGCTGGAGTGCAGTGGCGTGATCTCGGCTCACTGCAACCTCTGCCTCCTGGGTTCGAGCGATTCTCCTGCCTCAGCCTCCCAAGTAGCTGGGATTATGGGTGCCCACTACCATGCCCAGCTAATTTTTTGTATGTTTTTAGTAGAGATGGGGTTTCACTGTGTTGACCAGGCTGGTCTCAAACTCCTGACCTCAGTGATCTGCCCACCTTGGCCTCCCAAAGTGCTGGGATTATAGGCACGAGCCACAGCACCCAGCCTATGTCCCTCATTTCTAGAGCATATTCTTGTGTTATTTTCCTCCCTCCTATTGTGTGTTCTCCCTCACTAGGTCTCCCACCAGTCACATGCTCAACCTCCTGGATTAATCCTCTTGCCTTCTTACGTTTTCCTCTCCCATTGTCTTATTTTTGCCCGCTTTCTAAGATATGACTTTGATTCCCAAACATTTTCATGAATTTATTAAAAATTCAGCTATTATACTTTTTATTTTCAAGAGCTCTCTTTTTCCATCAAATGTTGCCTGTTTCTTGGATGCAACAGCATCTCTTATTTCCCTGAGGATATTAATTATGAATTATTATTTCTTCAAAGCTTTCTTCCACTTCCTGCTTTCTCTTTGTTTTTATTTCTACTTGTTCAGGTCTCCACCTTTCAAGTTGGGGCTTTTCTGCCGTGTCTGCTCATCGGCTACCGGTCTGTGCTCACACATAAGGCACAGCTCCTCGCTGCCCTCAGTGCACAGGAGGGGCTGCGGAATGGTGGGAATCACTGTGGAGTGGCTGGATGGGGGATTGCCGGGGTCTCCAAAGAAGTAGACCAACAGGATGTATAGAAGTAGAGAAAGAGATTCACTCCAAGGAACTGGCTGCAGAGGCTTCATGAGTCCACAAACTGCCTGGGGTGGCCAGCAAGCTGGAGACTCAGGAAGGAGCTGCAGTTGGAGTCTGAAAGCAGAGTGCTGGAGAATCCTCTCTTGCCTGGGTGTCCAGCATTTTGTTCTAGTCAGACCTTCAACTGTCTGGACAAGGCCCACTCACATCCTATGGGGCAGCTGGCTTCACTCAAAGTCCACCAACTTAAATGTAAATCTCATTCAAAAACGCCCTCAAAGAAACATCCAGAATAATGTCTGACCACATGTCTGGGCACCAGGGATCAGCCAAGTTGACACATAAAATTAACCATCACGATGGCAGACTAACGTTTTAATGGGGGTTTTCAAATACGTGTACTTATGAAACTTTTATCTGAGCTACTTGTTTCTCCAGAAGTGACTTCAAGTCCCGAGCGGGGTGGAGGTGGCGCTGCCCCTTGGGGTGAAGGAGAGGTGACGGTGCCTGAGGTTGGAGGTGACAGAGAGGCAGTCTCACCCTGGACCATGGACACTCATTCTCTCCCCCTATTTTTAGTTCTGTGCTTCACTCCAGCTCTATTCTACACCTGGCTTTCCTGAATCGAAAAGAGCCTAGTCCGTTTTTCCAGACCTAGCTCCTTTTGTCTCCAGCATGAGTTGAAGGATAGGCAGTTCCCTCCCTGTGCTGGGTGTAGGGTTCTCACAGAGGTCCAACCACTGCACATGCTCAAAGAAGCCTCCTGTGCCAGAGCGCCACCTAAGCCCATGTGTGGCACTGCCTACTGGGGACATGGCACTTTCCCTTCCTGAGTTCTGGGGTTCTGTGGAACAAACTGACTTGCTTCTTGTGGGCACCCTCCCCCTCGGGCACTGACACCATCTTTCATCCCAGAAGGTCAGCTGTCATTCCTTCATCTGCTTCAGTTCACAGGTTTGCAGCTGGAGCTCCAGATGTCCCCTAGCTTCATCAAAGAACTTTGGTTTCTCTTTTGTTGTTTTTGTGGCTGTTTTGAGATGATTTTCAAGAGAACTGTTTTTATTCTATCATGAAAGTGGAGTTCCTTTTAAGCGATATTTTAAGAGTTTTTGCATATATTGTTCTGATAGCGTTTCAACAACACCCTCCAGTTGAAACTACTACTTTTACATGACTAAACTACCAGACAATGAGAAATAAGAACCAAATTCTAAGCCCTCAACTCACTTTCTTGGCCGAGGAAGCCTGAGGCAACCTTGAAACTAAGCTACCAGTCATGACAGGCTAAGAGGTGGGGCTCACCCTGCTCTGCCCCTCCCGTGCTGACCGCATGAGACTTTCTGCCCTAAGGACTAAGTGGAAACCAGCCCTTTCAGCAGACTGCACTGGCAGTGACAACCACCTGACTGCTCCCCCATCTTCTGCGGCTTCAACAACCAAGCAGCCAGCACTTGCCCCTAAGAAGGCGCCAGGGAGGCTCAGGCCAGCCTATGGAGGACACGCAGGGAGGGGTTTTGTTCCTCTGCTTCACCTTTTGACTCAGAGGGCTGAAAACACTACCCTCAGATCCTGCTCATGCCACCATTTTCTGAACATGAGTCTCAAGGAGCATGAAGCCCAATTGTGCACACACACTTCTCTAGCAAATACTCCAAGCCTCCTGCAGCTCACCGAACACATACATTCGGCCACCTGGCTTGGCATACGTTCCTGCTCCCTTTCCACTCCCTCAGAATATGTTTCTGGCTTCTAGCCCAAGGCTACCATTAGCCACCAGAATGGCCCCACCCTGCAGGCTGCAACCCAGTATGAGAAACAGTCCTCCTTTCCACATTTCTGAATCATCATTCTGCACTAACAACAGCCACGAACCATGCATCAGGGAAGAGATGCAGGCAGCTTCCCTGCAGGCTCCACCACACCACTGCCTAAGAATCTTGAAAGAAAACCTGGCTCAATCTCTAACTCAAGTACTTACTACATAGTGTTCCACGTTCTTCACTTTAAAAACAGATCAATGGAAAATTTTATGATTTATATTCCTCCCAAGGAAGTCCCTAATATATAGCAAAATCGGCCTAAACACATGAACGACATCGGCGTGGTTCTTACATTACTATGTTCCCCTAAGGGAATTAGCATTAAAAAAAAAAGTTGCCGCCGGGCGTGATGGCGGACACCTGTAATCCCAGTTACTTGGGGGACTGAGGCAGGAGAATTGCTTGAACCTGGGAGATGCAATTTGCAGTGAGCCGAGATTGTGCCACTGCAATCTGAGACCCTGTCTCACCAAAAAAAAAAAAAAAGTTTCTGAACCACTGTTAAAACATTTTTCTGGGAAAATACAGAATACACTATGATAGTTAATTTTATGTGTCAAATTAAACATGGCGTCTGGGTGTGTCTCCAAGGGTGTTTCCAGATGAGATTAGCATTGAACAGTGGACTCAGTCAGGCAGATGGCCGTCCCCAAAGTGGGTGCGCCTCATCCTGTCCATCCAAGGCCTGAACAGGACCAAAGGCAGAGAAAGAAAACATCTGCTCCTTCCTGCCTGCTGGCTTCAACCAGGGCAACAGTCTCCTCCTGCCCTTGGACTGGGATTTGGCTCCCCTGGGGCTCGGTCTTCTGACTCGGAGTGGAGTTACAGCCCCAGCATCCCCGGGTCTCAGGCCTGTAGATGACAGATCGTGGGGCTTCTGGGCCTCCACAGTTGCACGAGCCAATTCCTATAAGAAATCCCATCTCAAATATAGTATTTATCTCCTATTGGTTGTTTCTCTGGAGAACCCTAACACATATACAAAATCTAACTGTTCAAAATAACAGTGCCATTTTAAAATGAGATATGGAATTCTGGTTATTTTGAAAGCGTGTACCTGCATCATGAAGAAAATTCGCATGCCTGTAATCCCAGCACTTTGGGAGGCTGAGGCGGATGGATCACCAGAGGCCAGGAGTTCAAGACCAGCCTGGCCAACATGCCGAAACCCCATCTCTACTAAAAATACAAAAATTAGCCAGGTGTCGTGTTGCATGCCTGTAATCCCAGCTACTCAGGAGGCTAAGGCAGGAGAATGGCTTGAACCCAGGAGGCAGAGGTTGCAGTGAGCTGAGAAGGCGCCACTGCACTCCACCCTGGGCAACAAAGCAAGACTCCGTCTCAAAAAAAAAGAAAAAAAGGCCAGGCGCAGTGGCTCACGCCTGTAATTCCAGCACTTTGGGAGGCCGAGACGGGCGGATCACGAGGTCAGGAGATCGAGACCATCCTGGCTAACACGGTGAAACCCCGTCTCTACTAAAACTACAAAAAAAAAAAAAAATTAGCCGGGCTTGGTGGCGGGCGCCTGTAGTCCCAGTTCCACGGGAGGCTGAGGCAGGAGAATGGCGTGAACCCGGGGGGCGGAGCTTGAAGTGAGCCGAAATCGCGCCACTGCACTCCAGCCTGGGCGACAAAGCGAGACTCCGTCTCAAAACAAAAAAAAAAAGAAAGTAAATTCAGAAAACGAACTATATGCATATATGCATGTTTTACTTTGTACAACAATAAAGAAAGACAAATAATACCTAGAAAAAGTTTTAATCCTGTGTAGACAGGAATTTCCTAGTTTCCTTTAGTGAGTGAGGACATGATATAGTAGATTAGACATAAAAAGAATCTGAAGTAAAATTTAAAAAATATATAGGTTTTCCAGTCTAAGATATCTAAATTCTAATCCACATCCTTTGACTTACTAGTTTTGTAGTTTTGTAGAATAAAGAAAGCTTAATTTAAAAGAAGAAAGAAGAAGGAGGGGAGGTGGAGGGAGAAGGTGGGGAGGGAACAGTGGGCAGGACAGAGGGTAGAGGAGGGAGGAGGAGGAGGG